AAATGTGTACCTACATCATTAGACACTGATAAGCAATTAACAACAAGAGAAAGTGGTCTCACTGCATCACTGACTATATACAGTGAAGGATGAAAACCTCTGGGTCAACTTCAAAGTATGACAAAACACCATTATACCACTTCCACCAACCCAGCTCCCCTCCACCTCAACCCCAATCTGTAAAATATATCCCAGTACTGTTCATAATGTACATAAACGTACATTTTACCTCTCTGTATTATATGAAGTGACATGAACACACTTGTATCAATGACCTTCGAGTATGTCTTTTTTAAATAGTAAATAAACTGGTTGATTTTGCATCAATACCTTCTCGATAATGCAGAGGATAAGAACACAGGCTCTCTCTAAGTATAACAAAGTAGGCCTACCACACGACTGAATTTGGAAGAGAAAACTCTGATTGACTGTAAATTATCTTAAAACTTATGATGCCGCCATTGAAACAATTTAGAGCCAGAATGCTTCAATCCAGGACTGACAAGGATCGAGCATCCTAGAAAACTTAAGACACAAGATTAGAATACTATACATCCCCCCCTTGAGAGTTGACCTCCTGTCCGGGTATAATGGGGAAGAACCTAACCAGAACATAGCAAATGCAGGCATTTTGTGTAAGTTATATATGTGTGTCTGAATTTTGTTCTAATGAAAGGCGCGCCGGGGGGGGGGGGTTGGTGTTGGAACTAGCTAACATAGAAGGAACAGGTTTAAATTGAGTATAGCATTCTAAATACAACTTCTGGATTACAAAAACAATCTACAGATGTTCATCTTTGTGCCTGACAAGTTTCTCACTAAGTAACTTAGTAACAGTACTCTCTCTCATATATTCAGTTCAGCCAGCAGAATTGAGCACAATGGACAAAGGAAACCCTGATAAAAGAGGTTTCATCAATTTCCGCCAACAAACTTTTAGTACAGTATTTGCTTGAGAGAACCAAAGCAGACAGTAGCAACCTAACGCTTAAGAACAGACAAACAAAACTCCAGTTGCCATAGCTAAAGACAGCGCACCCCACTGCGGAGATTTATTAAGACAAAAAGAAACCTTGATAGATTGAGTTCAGTAAAAAAAATTTTTAATCATGATACACTAGACCACTGCAAATCAAAATTTCAACGAGTCTGTAATTCGTTCAGTGTATCACATTCACTACTCACAGAATGAGGGATTGAATCAGAATTTACTCGTATAGATTCTTGCCAAAACATAGATCAAAATTGCTACGGGGCATTCTAGCAAAAATAGTGTACAATTTTCAATTTCAAGATCCAAAATTAAAATTAAAAGAACTATTAACAATTGCAAGTCAAGCTGCAAAGAGTGAAACTCAATCAACCACTGATTTTTGAATTTTTAGATCATGATTAGGTACATCAGATAAAAAAAACTGCGGCCAACAGCAAATCAAAAGGCTATTACTGTGGCATGATATTGCAGGGTCAGAGATATTTTCTTTGTGAATGAAATACTGCCTCTAATGGACTTTAGCATCAAATTCGATAACACAAAGCAGAGGTCTATTATGGAGTGTACAATTGCAAACACAAATACAAAGTAAATTTAGATTATTCTTTCAAAATCAATCTTCTTTCAAATTGTTATTTTGCTGTGAAAATTAGTTCATGTGAAAACAAAAATGAGCGACATATTACAATACATTTTGGCAATCTTGAAATTGGTTCATAAAAAATGTTTTAATGAATTCTTTCCTGTTATAAAAGGAACCTTTTCCATTACAGATTTTCACATCATGAAAAGAAAGAAATATAGAGAGACAAAAGCAGACGACAGAACATTGTTAGAGAGCAGGAACAGATAATGAACTGGACTCTATGGTATTTTAGTCCCTTTTCAAAGAGAAAAAGAACAAAATCTTTGAACTAACCAACTAAGGGAACTAAAACTTAACACTGTGCCTAAACTTTTTATGCTGTAGGCAGTCGTGAGCATGAATAATGCATACATTAGCATTACACAACAGCATAGTGCAAAAAACATTTTGAAAATTAGTGTAAAATGCAAATATTTCTCCCCAAGAATTGATTTAAAATATTAATAGAACATCCTCTACAAGATTTCAATTGTAATTGCACATCTATATTATGTTGTATGCCCCATCAACACAATTTATGATAATTGGGATGCCTTGATCATGCCTGTCAAAGCCAACCTGGGTTGATAGGGATAGGGATACAATTCCCAGCAGAAAGACAGGAGATACACTTGATAAAAAATTCTTCCCACTCAACAATCAAACTGGTGTTTTCTCTTTGTGCTTAACAACTACACTACAATCTTGGCTTCAGCCGTCCTTGCCGTCAGTCCAGTTTTCTTCCTTGTTATTCAAATGATTCTCCCCTCCTCTATTGCCTCATGAGAATGACTGAATCTCTGGTGCTCATTTCACAGTCAAGACTAGCTATCTGATCTTTGGAGATCAATGCTTTTCTTCCATTTTGGCCGTAACAAAGGCTCATTCTGCAGTAAACTTTTCCTGGTGCCCCATGGTCATAATGTGAAGAGTAGCATCCTTCTTTTGTCGTGAATGAAAAATTTGCATGAATTTTCTTTGGCGCTGTAATTATTTATTCTCAGGAAATACTGTCTTTACTGTGCAATAGATTGTGATGTCTTAAATTATAGTAATTTTAGATCTCTAGTTTCCAAATTATGATTTAAACAAACATAAATTTACAGGGCATCTCCTTTATGTCATCCTAAATTAAAATTCAATCACCAACAAATGTTGCACTGGGGTGGGGGTAGGTCAATTAATGACCCTCAAGTGTAAACCTTTAAAAAAGCTTTCTATATTTATTTCATCTCTTAATTCAAATTGAAAATCCTTCAAAAATCCATTTCCGCATTCTGATTTGCAGGGTTTAACTACAAATTTGTACGTGTATGAGAACACTAGAGACCAATGCTGTCACATGAAAATGGACTCCCCACCTGCATCCATGTCCAGAAGAAAGTAGTAGCATTCAAGTCAAATGAGATACATCAATCGATAAACAGAGGTTTCCTCCAGTACCAACAGAGCTCTCTGCAGCATTTTGAAATGATGTTCACTTCGAATCAACTTTGAAAAGCTTTCACTTTCATGTGTATATTATAATTTACACGAAAATAAAGGTCTACTTGTATCATCTGTGAGACCGTATTAAAAACGCAAAAAATGTGCTCCATTTATTTATAGTGTGTTATTAATGTGTGTGTTCCTCGAGGAAAGGTTGGGTGGCACGATGCAGGCTGACATGCTGTCTGCAACGAATGATAAGGAGAGTATTCAGAAACTGCCGAGTGTGTGAGTTTGGAGTCAGACTGGACTGCAAACAATTGCGATGTATTTAGTCATATATTAGCTTTTCCCTCATCTCTGATTGGGTGCAAGATTTCGAAACTCTACGACATTTCATCTTTTTATTCAGATTGAAGCTCAATGAAGAGGGTTTAAACCTCCTTATCCCTCCATACACTCTGAGCGTGATAAACCGTGCGCTGGCTCCTGTTTGCAACAAATCACAAACGACAGCAATTTGAATCAGTGTAGTTAGTTACTTTGTATCTGTTAACTTCCAACAGAAGGTAAATTGTAAAGTTTACAAGAATTTTCAGGTCAGGAAAGTCACCAGGAGAAGAAAAGATCATGACTACATTTAGCAGTAAACAGAAGCACACAACAATCTTTAAAATCCGTAAAATTGTACTTTCACAAGCGCACGTACAGAGATGCACTCCTATTGAAGTTTTTGAGGGCTAAACTACGATCTTTTTTGCTGCGGAACATACATGGCCACTAAAACACCATCATTTCAAATCATTCAACTGTTTCCAAGACAATATCACAAACCTAGTTGCAAAACATCAAATTATGGGGAAATAAGGGTGCGGGGGGGGGGGGGGGGGTGTCCATGCAATCCCCCAGTTTGTTAAAAACAAGTGGGCGGTGGTTAGCAGTTTTAATAGTGTTCTGAAACATGGTTTGCTCAGATTCCTTTCCCATTGATCAAACATCTAAATATAATGACCTTACTGTTTGCTTAAAAACTCTATTGAAACTTTTTTTAAAGTGAACGAAATATTACGACGTAGTTGGGCCTGTTATATTTATAATAGCCAACCATCGACAACTCAAAAAGTAACGACTAGTAGAAATGGAAATGAATTCAATTTATAATTCATTTCAGCAGACAAAACTAACCATAACTTTCTAGAAAAGAACCTGGACGAGACGCGTCCATCTTGAATAATACTTAAAAATCTGAAATCTTAAAAAAGGAGTTTCCTCTACCATTTTATCAATTGAAGCACACACAGAAATGACCCCTGGCCCAATAGATGTAATCTTACTTTCCTTTACTTTTACTTTTCCGATCCAGCAGTCATTTGGGTTCTAGCCCTTCGGTCTGATAGATGTAATCTAAATTCTCACTGGTCACTCCCCCTTAATAGATGATATGAATACGGGGAGCCCATTGAACGATCGGGTCTGGTCGGGGCCGTTTGAGCTGCTAGCCAGATTGAGGGTGCAAAGTGGCTATCGGGAAACAATCCGATCACACCTGACTCGCTGACTCAGAAACAAACAATTTTGTTTTCCGGCGAGAGATCGCCCTCAACCTGACCCGATCCCATCTGCAAAGGGCACCCCCTACTTAGGAGGCTTGGAGGCAAAGTGATGTGAGCTCCTGAGCTCTAACTAGAAAGTCTAGGCCTATTCCACAACATAAGAGTAAGAGACAAGGTAATGTTACACTGCATAGCAAAAACCTAGAAAGTCTTCTACAACATAAGAGACATGGTCATGTTACTGCACAGCAAAAATGGCTAAGATTAAAAGGTTATTTTAAGCAAAGTGTATACAGACCCGGTAACCGAGAACAAAGTCACGAAGTATACAGACCCGGTAGGGAAACTCTTTTTTGATTTCGGAAAGTTTCAGCGCCCAGACCTGGTAGTGTGTGTGTGT